TCTTTACATGCTAAGTATAATCTAGGCTATATTAGCATAAACTAGCCTAGTATATTTATAAAGTGTTATTTAAAGCTTAAAGTAAAGTTTTAAGTGTAAGTATAGTTAATAAATATTTTGTCTGTACGCAGCAGCAGCGTCACGGCCTAGATACAAGCGATCGCGCACGAGCAGGATCACGTATCTATGTCACATGATGCTTGTGCGCGAACCTCTGTGCGCGAACATCTAGATATCCCCCTTTTCCTCTATACAGAGGAAAGACAAGAGCAATAAAACTAGAAATATGTTGCCCTTACCTTACCTACCTTGTACACTGTGCACACTATACACTACTCTTACTTTTGCTACTTAAGTGCTTATACTATAAGCAGCTAGCTATTAAAGCCTATTTAACACTAATTAGTAGTTAATTTAATTAACTATAAATTAGTAAAAGTAATAATAAAGTACTTACACTTTATAAAGTACTTTATTTTATTACTTATCTTTTAGAAAGTGTTGAATGGGCTCCGACAGCTAGCTGCTTATGGTATAAGCACTTAAGTAGCAAGAGTAAGAGTGGTGTACAGTGTGCACAGCGTACAAGGTAGGTAAGGTAAGGGCAACATGTTTCTAGTTCTATTACTTTTGTCTTTCCTCTGTACAGAGGAAAAGGGGGATATTTAGATGTTCGCGCACAGAGGTTCGCGCACAAGCATTATGTGACATAGATACGTGATCCTGCTTGTGCGTGATTGCTTGTATCTAGGCCGCGACGCTGCTGCTGCGTATAGACACTAGCAACTTTTCTTTTTATCTAAAAAGTTACCTTCTGTACGCGTTACCTCCCTTCTGTCTGTGTAAGTTTATCTAATTATATTCTGCCTTTACTCTACTCTATTTGTTAGGACTTGCCTTAGTAATGCTGTGCATTAGAATAGGCTAGTTATACTATGTAAATAGCTTTTCTTTTTTTTATCCTTTACTTTCTAAGCCTTGCTGTATAATCCCTTAGCTCTTTTCTCTTTTTATATAGTACTAGCAGTAATAGATCCTTATAATAAGAAAGATAATTATATATAATATAAAAAAAAAAAAAATAAAAGAAAATAGGCCTTATATAAAGGTGTTATTAGTCTAGTTAGTCTAAGGCATCTTTGCACACAGGATCTAGCTAGTCTACAGATGCTTCTATCTAGACAGAAAGGTAGTTAGTTAGAACTAGTAATTAAAAAGCCTAGTTTAGTGTTTTTTTTATACATACATTTACTAAGTTGTTTTTACTATTAATTTACTTAATTTTAGTAATTTCCCTTTTCTTATATAATTTATAGAGTAACATAATGTTAATTATAAGTTGCTTTTTACTAGTAGTGCCTAGCTTAATAAGGTAATTATATAAAAACCTTAAATCTATGCAGATTACTACTAAGATTAGTAGTAGTTTAAGTGTTTATATAATTTACTATAAAGTTATACTAAGTGTAATTATATTATTAAACTCTCTAACTATTCTATATAGTTTACTAGTAAGAACACTCTTAGTTACTTTTTTACACTTAGTAAAATTCTAGTGTATAATGTTGCCTAGTATTTTAAAGTAGTTACTTTACTCTATATAGTCTTTATTACTTAATATAATTAAAAATCTTAGCTATAAGCTAAGGTCTTTATTATTAGTAAATAATTTATCTATAAAAATAAACAGCTTTATATAATTAAGCTATAATAGTAAAAAGGTAAGACTACGCTTACTATTATCTATCTACTATTAGATTTATATGTTAAGTGTGTTAATGTTATTATGTAAAGAGTCTATAGTTTATGCAGTAATAGACAAGTTAAATACTACCTTTAGTTAACATATAAATGCAATATATACCTTTTTTATATATTACTTAATATATTATTATGCAGCATCTTTATTCTTTAAGTTAATTATATAAAGGTAGCTTACTTATCCCTTTTAAGTAAAGACTATTATGTTATGCGTAAGTTTAATTTTTTTACTATTAAACTTAATAAGTTGCTTTTTTACTAGAATAGTTTTACTTTTTATGTAAAACTTTACTTTTTATAGTTTTTTCTTTTTTTTTTATATAAAATTCTTTATTATAATGCTTAAAGTGTTATCTATTTATAAGCTAGTAATACTAAAAGTGTGCTCTTCTTTATTAGTAATTAAAAAGTAGGGGTTATATAAAAAAATGTGCATGCGTAGCTTTTTTTTATAGTAGTTATAGTATGTCTTAAACTAATACAGTCTTAATTTAGTAGCTCTATACAAGAGTTATATAACCTAGAGTATTATATTTAGTAGAAAGCTCTAGCGCATTTCTTTTAGTAGCTTTATGTACAGTGTGCGTATAAGCTTATCTATTAATTAGATGTATGCTTATATAATATTACATAGTTTAAAATGCATTCTATATATAGCTTTTAGGCTTACTTTTATAGCTAAAAGTAGTCTTTAGCTTATTTTTTAAATAGTTAGTAACTAGGTAAGGATTTTTTTCTTCTTTTTATCTAAGTAGCTAGCAAACACTAGGTAGGATTTCTTATATAGTTAAGTTATTTTGCCTTTTACTTTTTATATAAAGTAAAGGTTAAAAATCTAACCTTTATGCCTTAT